ATGTACTTGAATACAGTGTATACATTTAAATTGCTGAGTGTGGCAATATTTCCTTCGGGTTAAGGACAAAACAGTCCAGTTACAAAGGAACAACTCAGCGCTGCTCACGAATAGCAAACAACAGGGGTGGGGGGGTGGGGGTGGGTGTGTGTGCTTTGAGCTGGAGCTGTATAAAATAAGCAGCTTGGAAACTGTTTTTGTGTCTTTTTGCTATGTTGTAACTGATATATGTGTCACAATCAAGGTTGCCTGAACCTTACACTAGACTTAGACTCTCGTTGAAAACTATGAGATCTAACACTGCAAGTGAGTACAACAGTGAACTGGGAACCAGGCTTTAACCAGAATACCAAGAGACCGGGCACTGTGAGAGAGTCAGGGCTGAGGGAATGGGCGCTATGGAAGGTTCAATGCTAGGGATGTGTTCACTGTCAAAGGACCAGTGTTGAGGGACCGTTTACTGTTGAAGGGTCAGTGTTGAGGTAGCAGGCGCTGTCAGATGCTCAGTGCTGAGGGATTATATTTAATCTAATTCTTGCTGATATTTCCAGACAAACTGAATATCAAATGATAGCTGGATATACAAACTGGCCATCGAATGTTCAATGGTAAGTGTAACGAAATTAAATTGCCTAAAAGCCTCCCATATTTGGAGACTCTCTCTCTGTCTCTCTCTCTCTCACACACACACACACACACACACACAAACACTCTCTCTCTCTCTCTCTCACAGACACTCATGCTTTCTCTCACAGGCACTCACTGTCTCTCACAGGAATGCATGCTCTCTCACAGGAATTCACTCTCTCTCACAGGCACTCACTCTCTCACAGATACTCACTCTCTCACTCTCTCTCTCTCTCTCTCTATCTCTGTTGATGATGTTGTGTCCTTCTCTGTCTAACCCTCAGAGATGGATGTATCCTCTCTTCCAGAAACAAAATCGTTCCATCATCTCCAACAGATCAGTCACAGGGAATCACTCTCTCTCTCTCCTGGTCTTTCTCTCTCCCACTGTCTTTCTCCTCTTTCCCTTGCTCTTTCTCTCTCTCCCTCTCTATCCGTCTCTCCAAGTCAAATAAAGATGGACAATATTGATTGATTGATTGATTGATTATACATGTCCCTAAGTACAGTGAAAAGCTTTGTTTATGAGCAGTATGGTGAGATCATACTAAGCAAGGACATACAGATCATAGGGTGAAAAAAAATCTTGAGGCATACAGGATAACATAAGAATGTAAGAACATAAGAACTAGGAGCAGGAGTAGGCCATCCGGCCCCTCGAGCCTGCCCCGCCATTAAATAAGATCATGGCTGATCTTTTCGAGACTCAGCTCCACTTACCCACCCGCACACCATATCCCTTAATTCCTTCACTGTTCAAAAATTTATCTAGCCTTGCCTTAAACACATTCAGCGAGGTAGCTTCAACCACTTCACTGGGCAGGGAATTCCACAGATTCACAACCCTTTGGGTGAAGAAGTTCCTTCTGACCTCAGTCCTACATCTGCTTCCCTTTATTTTGAGGCTACGCCCCCGAGTCCTATGGTTTCACCTGCTAGTGGAAACAACTCCCTGCCTCCACCTTATCTATTCCCTTCATAATCTTATATGTTTCTATCAGATCTCCCCTCATTCTTCTGAATTCCAGTGAGTATAATCCCAGCCTACTCAGTCTCTCCTCATAATCCAACTCTCTCAACTCTGGAATCAACTGAGTGAATCTCCTCTGCACCCCCTCCAGTGCTCGTATATCCCTTCTCAAGTAAGGAGACCAAAACTGCACACAGTACTCCAGGTGTGGCCTCAGCAGGACCCTATACAGCTGCAGCATAGCCTCCCTGTTTTTAAACTGCATCCCTCTAGCAATAACAGACAAAATTCCATTTGCCTTTTTAATTACCTGCTGCACATGCAATCCTACTTTTAGCGATTCATGCACAAGGACACCCAAGTCCCTCTGCACAACAGCATGCTGCAATTTTTTACCATTTAAAACATAGTCTATTTTGCTGTTATTTCTACCAACATGGATGACCTCACACTTATCAACATTGTACTCCATCTGCCAGACCTTTGCCCACTCACTTAGACTATCTATATCCCTCTGTAGACTTTCAGTGTCTTCTGCACACTTTGCCTCTACCATTCATCTTAGTGTCATCTGCAAATTTTGACACACCACACTTAGTCCCCAACTCTAAATCATCTATGTAAATTGTAAACAATTGCAGTCCCAACACTGATCACTGAGGCACAACACTAGCCACTGACTGCCAACCAGAAAAACACCCATTTACCCCTACTCTTTGCTTTCTACTGATCAACCAATCCTCTATCCATGCCAATACATTACCTGTAATACCATGCAACTTTATCTTATGTAGCAGCCTTTGGTCTGGCACCTTGTCAAATGCCTTCTGCAAATCCAGATACACTACATCCACAGGTTCCCTATTGTCCACCATGCAAGTAATGTCCTCAAAGAATTCCACCAAATTGGTTAAACATGACCTACCCTCAAGAACCCATGCTGGGTGTTCCCAATGGGAGAATTTATACCCAGATGTCTTGCTATTTCTTCCTTAATGATAGATTCAAGCATTTTCCCCACGACCGAAGTTAAGCTAACTGGTCTACAGTTACCTGATTTTTGTCTACTTCCTGTTTTAAACAGTGGTGTCACATTGGCTGTTTTCCAATCTGCGGGAACCACCCCAGAGTCCAATCAATTTTGGTACATAATTACTAGTGCATTTGCTATTTCCCCCATCACCTCTTTTAGTGCCCTGGGATGCATTTCATCAGGGCCAGGAGATTTGTCTACCTGTAGCCCAATTAGCTTGCCCAGCACTGCCTCCTTAATGATAATGATAGTTTCTAGGTCCTCACCTGCTATAACCTTCTTGCCTTCAGTTTTCGGCACGTTACTTGTGTCTTCTACTGTGAAGACTGACACAAAATAACTGTTTAATGAATTGGCTATTTCCTCATTCCCAGTTACTAAATTGGCCTTCTCATCCTCTAAAGGACCAATGTTTACCTTCACCACTCTTTTATGACTTACATATTTATTTAAACTTTTGCTGCCTGTTTTTATATTCTGAGCTAGTTTACTCTCATAATCTATCTTACTTTTCTTTCTAACTTTTCTTGTGTCTTTCTGTTGGCCTTTAAATATTTCCCAGTCTGCTAGTTTCCCACTAATCTTTGCTTTTTTGTATGTATTTTTTTTAATCTGATACTTTCCTTTATGTCCTTAGACATCCATGGCTGACTATTTCTTTTCCTACATTCTTCCTTATCACTGGAATATACTTCTGCTGAGCACAGTGAAAAATCGTTTTGAAAGTCCTCCACTGTTCCTCAATTGACCCACCATAAAGTTTTTGCTCCCATTTTACCTTAGCTAACTCCTCCCTCATCTCATCATAGTCTCCTTTGTTTAAGCACAGGACATTGGTACTGGATTTAACCTTCTCACGCTCCATCTGTATTTTAAATTAGACCATACTGTGGTCACTCCTTCCGAGAGGATTCCTAACTGTGAGGTCATTCATTATGCCTGTCTCATTACACAGGGCTAGATCTAGGATAGCTTGCTACCTTGTAGGCTCCATTACATATTGTTCAAGGAAATTATCATGGATGCATTCTATGAACCCCTCCTCAAGGCTGCCATGACCAATCGATATGTAGATTAAAATCCCCCATGATAATTGCTGTACCATTTTTACATGCATAAATACTGGTCTGGGCAGCAAAAACCATACTCCAAAAATAAATTAAAAATAGGTTTTTGGTTTTTAGACAGGCAGCAGAAGATCAGATCATTCTCCTTGGATCTGAGAACATTAAGCAGTGATCTAGTCGAGGTGTAGATTTGTTTTCAAGATATTTCATTAGCAGAGAGAGAGAAATTATTAACACTGTCACAATCTTTGGTCACCACAGAACACAGCTTTCAGGCAATTGGCAAATAATGCAGCGTGAAAATGTTAAAATTATTTTACTCAGCAAGTTCTGAGGATCTGGAATAGTCTGAGCAGCAGCTTGATGCATATTCAACAGTTATTCGTAAAGTAAATTTGGAATTTAACTTTTTAAGGAAAGATATTGGCTATGGATGGGGTAGGGGTGCAGAATTGGGATAAATTTGCAGCATTTCTCGAGTACGAATAGCCACCAACCCGTGCGCTCTGTGATATTGTTCAGACGAATGAGGGGGGATCTCATAGAGACTTATAAAGTTGTAACAGGACTGGACAGGGTAGGGGCAGGGAGGATGTTCCCGATGGTGGGTGCATCCAGAACTAGGGGTCATGGTATGAGGATTCCGGGCAGACGATTTAGGATGGAGATGAGGAGACATTTCTTCACCCAAAGAGTGGTAATCCTTGTGGAATTCATGACCACAGGAAGTAGTTGATGCCAAGGCAGTTGATGTATTCAAGACACGACTAGATATAGCACTTACTCAGAGGTAGTAGGAAATGCCGATGCTGGTGAATCTGAGATAACAAGGTGTAGAGCTGGACGAACACAGCAGGCCAAGCAACATCAGAGGAGCAGGAAGAAGGGTCCAGACCCGAAACGTCAGCTTTCCTGCTCCTCTGATGCTGCTTGGCCTGCTGTGTTCATCAGCTCTACACCTTGTTAACTTAGATATAGCACTTGTGGCGAATGGGATTAAAAGTTTTGGGGAGAAAGCAGGATTAGGCTATTGAGTTGGACGATCAGCCATGATGATGAAGAATGGCGCACTAGGCTCGTCAGTCGAACGGCCTCCTCCTGCTCCTATCTTCTGTACTTCAATGCAGCCCATCCCAGGGGAGAGAGTGGGAGGATTCCGCTACTCACATCCTATTGGGCTCTGGCTGATTGACGGCATAGCATTGACCAATAGGAGGTTGGTGGGCGTGGCTGGCGGACCAAATCGTAGCGACTGAACCTCCAACCAATGGGAATGACTGTGGGGCGGGGTGATCAAGATGACACGTGACCATTAACGCAGCCGGCGTATTGTCGCTATACTTAGTGTCTGAGCGAGTGCGGGAGGCAGAGACGAGAAAGCGGGAGATTCAGTGGACGTCGGGAGGAAAATGGCGTCAGTCTCGATTGGGAAGTTGTATCAGCACCGGCTGTAGGCTACTAGACCTGAATTAGAAATTTCCAGTCCCGCGTTTGTAGCAAACGGGAAAACGGCTGCGGGCCTCCGGCGGTGATAGGCCCCGAGTTACCGCCGCCATCTTTATTGGAGGTCAGATGCAGTAGTGCGCTTGCGCCTGCTTCTTCCTGAGTGGGGGCGGGGCGACTTGAAGGGGAGCATTTACAGAACAAACTGAAACCAAGAGAAATGATTTTGTTTTCTAGATTTCTATCCTAGACTGAGAGTGATTCTCTTTTTGAATTCGTTTTGCAGGATATTAACTGAGAATAATTTGCAGACTGGGATCTCAAAACAAGTTCTGACAATCAGCAGAGTCATCAGGATCTGAATGTCATTGGCATTTCACTGTGAAAAGAAAAAGGTTTGTCTGTTCTGTCTGTGGGAAAATGTCTCCAATATGCTTTTAACTCGAAAAGCAGCTAAGATATTCAAATCTGTTGTTTGATCATCTCGGGGTATGTGCTCAGTTCTGGGCCCTGCAGCTGAGGAAGTAGATAGATATTGACCTGAGAAGGGGCCCAGATTTATCCAAATAATACCTTGACTCTTTGAAAGAACTGTCATATTTCATCTCAATCGCCCACTTAATGATTTTAACCTGTACATTTCCAATTCACAAATACATGCAAACTTCCTTTTAAAATTCACTACGGAGTCGAATTCCAGCACCCTTTCAGGTGGAATGTTCCAGGTCCTGACAAATCTTTGTTGATTCTGAACTTGCTGAAGTCCTTGTTGATTCTGGAGGGTTATAAAGAGCTGAAAGGAAAGTTGAGATGCTGCTCCCTGAACTCCCAGTGAGGTGCACTGGAATAGTAAAGTAGGCTGCACTCAGTGTAGATGTGAGGACTGTTAATATGACAAGGTTACTGTTAATATGACAAGGTTGCACTTTGAATGAGAGTGCTTTGGAGTTGGGTGAGAACAGACAGTGAGGTAGACAAGGAGAAGGTGAAGCTGAAAATTGACAGTGGTGCTCAGTCTTAGTTTGGGCAGTTCAGAAAGTGATACACTCCCAGTCGAAAGAACCATCAGTAGTACCTGCAAAGTATTTTCTTACAGTTTTGAAGAATATGAGCTTTGTAATGGGCTTTCGATAATAATAGAAATGTTTGCAACGAAAGAAAATCCTTAGCTCAATTAAATTCTCTTAAAGGGAGTAACTAACTTAATTTACAAAGAAGTCATGACAGGAGACCTCAGACCCCTGGTGTGTTCCTCTGGCAATGTGGGAATTAAGGAAAGCTTCCAGTGTTGCTGATGGCTACGTGTACAGGACGTGTGTCTATCTGCAGCTACTGGCTAACCGCTTTTGGGAGCTGGAGCGGTGGGTGGAATCACTGCAGAGCATCCGCAACACTGAGAATGTCATGGGCAGCACATTTAGTGAGTTGGTTACACCACAGGTGAGAATTACACTGGCAGAAAGGGAATGGATGGCCATCAGATAAAGATAAATGCTCAGGAAGGAAGTGCAGGAGTCCCTAGTGGTCATCCTCCCCTCAAACAGATATACTGATTTTGATACTTTGGGGCTGGTCGGGGGTGGCCTCAGGGGAAATCGGCAACAGCCAAGTTCAAGGCACCATGGGTGGGTCTGCTGCACAGAACAGAGGAGAAAGAATGGCAAGCCTGTAGTGACTGGGGATTCAACAGTCAGAGATACAGATAGCCACTCCTGAGGCAGTAGACATGTATCCAGGATGGTATGTGGCCTCCCTGGTGCCAGGATCAGGGATATCCTGGAGCAGCTGCAAGACATTCTGGAGCTGGAGGTTGAATAGCCAGTTGTTGTGGAATTCATAGGTACCAACGACACAGCTAAACAAAGGATGAAGATCTGAAAGCTGACTATAGGAAGATATGAGATACATTAAAATCCAGGGCCTCAAATGTAATAATGTCAAACTCACTCCCAGTGCCATGTGCTCGCGAGAGCAGGAATAAGAGTATAGATCAGATGAACATGTAGCTAGAGAAATGGTGCACCAGCGAAGAGTTTAGATTCTTGGGACGTTGGGACGTTGGGACCTGTACAAGGCTGACTGGTTGCCCCTAGGCAGAGCTGAAACAATTCTCGTGAAGGCTTTTGATAGTTCCTTTGAGGTTTTAAACTAGTATGGCAGGGGAGTGGGAACCAAAGTGTGGGCTTAGATGGGTCAGATTCAAATTGGGAATTGGCAGGTAGATTATTAGTCAGTGGCTCAGAGAGACTAAAGAAAGGAGGATTAAATGAGGATCGAGTCTTTCTTCATATGTCAGTCCTGATACCCCAGGAATCAGTCTGGTAAACCTTCTTTACATTCTCTATACAGCCAGGGCATCTTTCCTTGAAAAAGGAGTACAAAGGTGCACACAATTCTCCAGGTGTGGTCTCACCAATACCTTTACAGAAAGATATCCCTGCTCCTGTACTCAAATCCTCTCACTATGAAGGCCAACATATCATTTGCACTCTTCACTGCCTGCTTACTGAAAGAGAGACTGACAGAGAAGCACGGAAAAAAATGGGATCAGAGTCTCAGATATAAAATTGTTGAACATGATCTCCCCATCATATCCATGCTGATCATCAAGCACCTATTTACTTTAAACTCATTTTCCAGCACTCAGCATGTAACCTATATCATAGTGGCTTGTAGGATCATCTAAACATTTCTTTGTGGTTGCAATGGTTCCCGCATCTGCCACTATTTCAGATGCTGCCACGCCTACGGAAAGTCTCCAGCATTTCCTGATTTTATTTCAGATTTCCACCATTTTGTTTAAGCACTTAGCGTCACAGAGTGATACGGCATGGAAACAGACTCTTTGGTCCAACTCATCCATGCTAACCAGATGTCCTAAACTGATCTAGCCCCATTTTTCCAGCATTTGACTCATATCCCAATAAACACTTCCTATCCATGCATCCACGTAGATGCAGTTCAAACGTTGTCACTGTACCTGTCTCCACTACTTCCTCCGGTACCTCGTTACATACACGTAACACCCTCTGTGTAAAAAGATTGCCCCTTGGATCCCTTTAAAATCTTTCCCCTCCCACCTTAAACCCATGCCCACTAGTTTTGAACTCTCTTACTCTGGGAAAAAGACCTTCCTACTCAGTCGATCCATGTCCCTCATGATTGTATAAACCTCTATAAGATCATTCCTCAGCCTCCGACACTCCAGAGGAAAAGAAAACCCAGCCTATTCAGCCTCTCCCTATAGCTCAACTCTACAATCCCAGCAACAACTTTGTTGATCTTTTCTGAATGTTTTCAAGTTTAACAATATCTTGCCGACAGCAGGGAGACCAGAACAGAATGCAGTCTTCTAAAATCCACCTAACAAATGTCTAAAAAAGCAACAACATGACCTCCCGAATCCTGTACTCAATGCACTGACCAATAAAGACAAGTATTCCAAATTCACGTTCACTGTCCTGTCTGCCTGCAATTCCCCTTTCAAGGAACTATGCACTTGTTCTTATCCTTTTGGAGGGATTGAAGGTATGGGGAGAAGACAGGAACAGGTTTGAGTTGTAGATCTCTCAAATACTTCTTCATGCTGCCTCTCCCACCCCTATCTCTTTCTGCAGTTTTGAGCAAACACTGACTGGTTCCCTTCCCTGAAGGACAGTTCAGTTTTAATGATAATCCAGCATTTTCCCTTTGTCATCTCCTCAACCGATCAGGTTAACTGATCTCTGTTTCACAACTTGCATTTTCTTCTCATTCTCCTAATTTGTTTTATGTTTGAAATGGTGATTTGCAATTAGAGACTTCAAATGAAACCAGATCCAGATCCGACAGTCACTCTGTTTATCATAACCTAATTATATCAGAATTTTGAACGTTGAAGGAAAAAGCACCATTCACCCCGGGGAGAAACACGTATCGTCTGTTTGTGGAAGAGTCTGTGAAGCTTCATCTGTAATGTCCAAACGCCAATGCAGTCGCACTGGGGAGAGACGGTGGAAATGTGGGGATTGCGGGAAGGGATTTCTTTACCCATCCCAGCTAGAAACTCACCAACGCAGTCACACTGGGGAGAGACTGTGGAAATGTGAGGATTGTGGGAAGGGATTTCTTTACCCATCTGAGCTGGAAACTCACCAACGCAGTCACACTGGGGAGAAGCCATTTACCTGCTCTGATTGTGGAATGGGATTCACGCAGTCATCCCACCTGCGGATACACCAGCGGGTCCACACTGGAGAGAGACCATTCACCTGCTCAGTGTGTGGGAAAGCATACGCTCAGTCATCCGACCTGCGGATACACCAGCGTATTCACACTGGGGAGAAGCCATTCACTTGCTTTGACTGTGGGAAGGGATTCACTTCGTCATCCAGCCTGCTGAAACACCAGCGAATTCACACTGGGGAGAAACCATTCACCTGTTCTGAATGTGGAAAAGGATTCCATTACTCTTCTAAACTGCTGATACACCAGCGAATTCACACTGGAGAGAAACCATTCACCTGTTCTGAATGTGGAAAAGGATTCAATCGCTCATGTAATCTGCTGATACACCAGCGAATTCACAGTGGGGAGAGACCATTCACCTGTTCTGAATGTGGAAAAGCATTCAATTGCTCATCGAGACTTCTAACACACCAGCGAGTACATACTGGAGAGAAACCATTCATCTGCTCTGATTGTGGGAAAACATTCGGTCAGTCAACCATCCTGCTGAGACATCAGCGAGTTCACACTGGGGAAAAGCATTCACTCAGTCAACTCACTGGCTGATACACCAGCCTGTTCACTCTATGGAGAGACAGTTCACTTGTTCTGCATGTGGAAAGGGATTTTAAAATGTTACCACACCAGTGAAATGACACCAAGTGGATCCCATTCACCTGCTCTGTTCATCTAAAAGACTTTGCTGTTTGCTAATGCACAAGCAAATTCACAAAGAACCACAGGTGAAAGGTTTTGCTTTTATTCACACACCAAGGAATAAACTTTGGTCATTGGACCATTTGTATTGATGTTATTAATCTATTAAAGGGGCTGATATTGAGGATAAAACATTGATACAGTTGTGTCTCTGGAATAGGTTTTGAAAGTAAGCACAATGTCATTATTTCAACACATTTATGCTCTGTAACGAGTATCCACCTGCATATTGTTTGCAAAGTGTATTTGAGGTTCATCAGAATTGGTTAAACAAGTTCCCTCATATCCATCAGCATTGGATTTTGATGGTATTGCTATCCAAATCCAAACCATGCTTTCTGGCCCTATTTCTGACCATGTTTATGAACAATACAGGTTCAGTTACCTATTTGGAATAAAAATAATACAAATCAGCTGTTTATTAAAACCAAGTTGCATCAACTCTTTGTCTAATTCTGAGTGCCTTAGAGATAAGATAATAAAGATAAGATAATCCTTCACATGAGCAGTTGGGGGAAGGCACATCCAGAGTGAGATATAGCCTGAAATGCTGGAAATTTAGTTCCAAGTGTTGTTGGTGCACGTGCAACATAACTTGGCAAGGGGGTGGGATCCAGAAAGCATATCCAAAAGGCTAAGAAGAGAGGAATCAACAAGTGAGTCAGGAAGGCATTGACATTACAGGCCAGTTCGGGTACAAGGGAGTTTGACCTGGTTGAATGGCATTGATTTTAATGCTACACGTGTGACAAACAAGGCAGATGAGTTGAGGATACAAATTAAAAATGGTGTATTATGACATTGCTGTCACTGAGACATGGTTGAGAGAGAGGTAGGTTTGGAAGCTCAAAACTCCAGGATGCACGGTCTTCATGCGAGACAGCGAAGGATGCAAAGGAAGAGGAGGTGTCATAGCTGTGTTTAGGGAATGTTACTGTTGCCCGTAACTGAGCACAAGATAAGATTGTTATGGCTGGCCACAACTATTGCTGACAGCAACATTTTCTCGAGGTCGCAACTAACAGCATATGTCATTTGATTCCACACTGTAAGCCATAGATAAACAATTAACATTTGGAGCTAACAGAAGATAACAACATTTAAATAATAGAAGACATAGAACATTTTAAGAACAACGTTTGCAACTCTTGTAAGCTGTAGATAAGATGATTAATATTTGCAGCTAACACGTAAGATAATAACATTAGACACATTTGATTACCTCACACTAATTAGGTGGTTAACCAATATTATAGAACCAATTAAGTTCATAAAAGGAATTAAACCAGCCCACAAATGGTTAACAATTAGTTAAGCAAGCCCAGCACAAAAGGTTTCTCCTTTCTCTCTCTCACACACACACACAGTTAAGATATTGGAATTTTAATTGGATTGTGCTAAAGCTCATAACTTTGTGGAACTGATCGAAGTCAATATTCTTTTGTTTTCCCTGTAATGAGACATTTCTAATTAATTGGCAGTTCTGGCAAATATTATTTGGACAGTAATCATTGTGAAAAGTTTCAAAAACATTATTGTGACCATGATTAAGCCACAAGCCTGTCAATCTCAGTGAAAATGATGTACAAGAGAGCCGATCACAAAGTGCCAACTCAATTCTGCTGAACAATAATAATGGTGTGTGTGTGTGTGTGGGGCTGGGGGAAGGGGTGGTGGTGAGCGCTCTAAAAGAAAGATATTCTCAAGTCTGTGGACATTTTTTTTGTACCTTCATGACTTTGTGTCTTTTTTTTGCTATACACTGTTACTGAGCTGTAACTAAGCAAATAAAAGGTCATATTTTGAGTGCACCCTGCATCTCTGACTCTTTTTGAAAGATATAAGGTCTATCAGAGAATTTATTACAGCAATAAGGAGAAATAATGTCTTAGAAAATTCCTTAGATAAACCTGTAAGGGTAGAACAAGTAGAGCTCGTAAGGAGGCAGATTTCAGGGAAGCATCAAAGTTACAGGGTCATGATAGTGGGGAGTTTCAATTCCCCAACATTTACTGTGGTCGGCACAGTATGAAAGGTTTACAGGAACTTTTAAAATAAATCCAGGACAGCTTTTGAAGGCAGTATGTAGAAGTCCCAACAAGGAAAGGGGAGCTCCTGGAATTAATTTTAGGTAACAAAAATGGACAAGCGGTTGAAGTATCAGTGGGGGAGGATCTTGCAGACAGTTATCATAACTCTTTTAAAAAGATTAAGGATTGATCTGGAAAAAGACGAGGATTGGCCTTAAATCAAAGTTCTAAATTGGTTGATTTTAACAAGACCAGGTATGATTTGGCCGGAGTGCACAGGGAGGGAGCAGATTCTATCGGGGAAATGTGCAAGAGGGAATTTAAATGGGGAGATATGGAGAGCTATGAATTGGAGAACATGGAGAACATGAATTGATGCAGCCAGGTAAAATAAAGGAAAATGCTCAGTTGTTTTACAGGTACATTAAAGGTTAAAGAGTAAGGCTGATTAAATTCAATCACATACTTCTCCCTGAATGGTCTCTCACTAATGAGCATTGACACAGTGTTCATTTCAAATTTAGCCGACATCCTCTGGTTCCACACACACATTACTGCTGTGGTCCTTAAATAAATTAGCATAGAGAGCAAGAAGGTTTTGAGTCTGCTGACTGGCTTAAATGCAGATAAACCTCCAAAGTCAGGTGAAATGTATTCTGCGTTGTTGGGACTAAAGGGCAGGAACGCTTGCAAATTTTTTCAATTCCCCTCTGACCACAACAAAGGTGCTAGAGGCCTGAAGAATAGACAAAGTGGAGCTTTTATTCAAGAAGGGAGCAAGGGATAAATCAAGAAACTAAGCCAGTCAGTCTCACCTTGATGGTGGGGAAACTATTGAATGAAATTCAGAGGGACAGAATTAATTCAGAAGCATTAGAAGCTGTCTGTTTGGGAGTCACAAGATAACTGTGGAGTGAGCAACTTTTGGGCAAAATTGTTTTGCAGCCAAAATCCCCATTGACAATCCACGACTGTCTCACAGAGTACGCTGATGGGAAAACGAAATCGCCTTCCTTCCCTGGCCTGTCAATTAACCACTAATCTTTTCATTAACAGCTGAATGCAATGACAAATTAACCTGCCCAAATATGTTGCTTCTCACTGATCAGCCCATCTGACCCACCTGTTAGTATGTGGAAAGCCAAGGCTATCCTCCTCACTATTTACTTTGTATCATCTGCAAACTAACTGATCAACCGTTCTACATTCAAGTCTAAATAATTTATATAAACCATAAACAACAAGGGCTCAACACTGACCACTATGGGACCCCAATGGAACAGACTTCTAATCGGAAAAATGTCCTCAATTATCACCCGCTGCTTCCTGCCATGCAGAGAATTGTGGATCCAATTTGCCAAATTTCGATGAAACCCGTGGGCTCTTACCTTTGTTATCGGTCTCCTATGCAGGACCTGACTAAATGCCTTGCCGATGTCCAATAAGACTATATTAAAAGTATTGCCCTCATTGGTACAACTGGATACCTCATCAAAAAACTAAATTAAGTTGGTCAGATATGAACTCCCCTTTAAAAAATGCATGCTGACTGTTCTTGTTTAATCCCCTTGCTTAACCCTTGATTAATTCCAAATACTGGCAGTCACATTCCCACAAACCCTGCCTTCCTTCTCACACTCATTCTCCAGAAGGCAAAAATTCATGTTAATCAACAGATCTCTGCTCAGTTCTCAGTTCTGAAGAAAGGTCACTGGATCCGAAATGTTAACTCTGATTTCTCTCCAGAGATGCAGCCAGACCTGCTGAGCTTTTCTAGAAATTTCTTTTTGTTCTGATTTCCAGCAACCGCAATTCTTTTAGTTTAACTGCTCAGTACTTGATGTCCAGGACACACAGTCCTGAAAATCTTCATGCTGGCTCCCACCCTAAATTTATATGTATCTATAAGGGCATCATATATCTGTTTTATATGCAGTGCATTATTTCTAATTTACTGCCCCTTAACTCCTGACCACCTCTGATAGAAATCCTGTAAGAAGGAAAGATGCCACCCTGTTAGGCAGGCAAATAAATGTGCAAAACTGAGACAACAAATAATGATAATAAATTTAAGAGACATATCATTTCCAGAGTACGCTCCCACCCTGGAATCAGTTCCTCTCCCTTCAGTTGCTGCAAGTGAACAGTATTCCCAGGATGAGAAAAGAAATGGAAAGGGGGAGACATTGCTTTGCTCCAGATGTTGCACAGAGGAGGGAGTCTCACTTTGAACCAAACCGGGACAGGCCTTGCCTGAAGCAGCCAATAGGGATCACTGAGCTCGTCGTTGGCATCCAGGGGTTCCAGGCTGCAGGCCAAGTGTGCGGGGAATGGAGCCCCGCACCTACCCATTTCTCCCCCTCCCCCTCCTGGAGCCAAGCTTTCCAGGACAACTGCCTGCCGGCTGGAGCCAGAGTGAGAAGCCGCTCAGGGTGCTGCCCCTGCCCCTTTCTCCAGAGGCTGCTGCTCCAGAAAGAGACTGTTCGAGCCCTGTCCACTGCCGGCAGTCACACCGCGCTTGCTCCAGACAGTGGGCCCACACTGCGCTTGCGCTGCCACCCAAGTGAGGGATTGGGGAGTGGAGAACAGTTTAGAAAACCTCTTCCTTTCATTTTCTTCCAGGTTATACAACAAAGAACAATACAGCACAGGAACAGGTCCTTAGACCCATAAGGCCTGCGACGACATATTTTGCCCTTCCATACTAAAACTGTCAGGATCCGTATCCCTCTATTCCCTTCCTATTCATGCATTCATCCAGGCACTTCCTGAATGCTGCTATTGCATCTGCTTACCCCACCTCCTGTGGCAGCACGCTGCAGGCACTCACCACCCTTTGTCCTTTGTTTCAAAAACTTGGCTCACACATGTTTGAATCATGAATCATAAAATCCCTACAATGTGGAAACAGGCCCTTCGGCCCAACAAGTCCACACTGACCCTCGGAGTATTCCGCCCAGACCCATCCCCCAATAACCCACCTAAGCTACACATCCCTGAACACTACTTGCAATTTAGCATGTCTTTTAAACTTCTCCATTCACACCTTGAACTTGTGTCCCTTAATAAATGATCGTACCACCTTTGGAGAAAAAAACCTCATACTTTCGACTCTATCCATGAAATTCATAATCTCATAAACTTGTTATCAGGTTTCCTCTCAACTTTCTGTGTCCCAGTGGAAACAAACCCAGTCTATCAAACCTTTCTTCATAGCTAGATGTCCCCATGCCAGGCAACATCCTGGCAAACATTTTCTGTTCCCTCTCTAAAGCTTCCACATCCTTCTGGTAGTGTGGTGACCAGAACTGTATGCAATACAGTACAGGATTTGTGAATTTTCTTCAGAAAGAAGAACTGGACCAAGTACTGAAAGAGTTATTTGATGAAACAGAAGGTGAATATGTTCAGTCTTTGACTGGGAAGAATTGAGATTTCTCTGTTCTGCCTGTAGGGAGAGATATGAAGCACGTAGAAATAGAGAGAAAAGGCGACAGAGGAATTTGAAAACAAGGATGGGAGTTTTAAAAATGAGGCATGGCTGAACAGGGAGCTTTAGTTTTTTTTATATATATATTTATTCTTGGGATGTGGACAATGCTGCCTGGATCAGCATTGACTACCCGTCTCACATATCCTGGAGAAAGTGCTGCCATGGAGCATGGCTGTGATTTTTGACTGCCCAGTGTGAAGGAGACTGTGTAAGTCAAAGGATATTGTCCTGGAGCTGCAGTCTGTCAATTTAAGATGGGTGAAGTCATGTTTAAAAAATGTACTGAAGCATTAGCAGACAGGAAACACACGGGAGAAATAAATGAATCTTTTTCAGGAGTATAAGACTTTGACAAGTATGGCACTGTAAGGATGTCTTTGGACCCCAGCTATTTAAAGCATACATCAATGATTTGGATGAGGGAATCCAATGTAATATTTCCAAGTTTGTTGACACAAAACTAGGGGGATTGTGAGTGAGCAGTACACAAACAGTCTTCAGAGTGATTCAGTCAATTTGAGTGAGTGGCAAATACATGACAGATGCAGTATCATTGTGAAGTTATCCATTTTGGTAGAAAATTCACAATGGCAATGTATTATTTATATAGTGGTAGATTTGGAACCGTTGATGTACAAAGGGATCTGGGTATGTGTGGACACCAGTCATTCAAAGCAAGCATGTAGGTGCAGCAAGCAGTTAGGAAGGCAAATGGAACTTTGTCCTTCATTGCAAGAGGGTTTGAGGACAAGAGATCATACAGTTGCTGTGCAGGGTTTTGTGAAGCCACACCGGGAGTCTATGTGCAAGTTTGGTCTTCTTCATGAAGAAACATTATTCTTGATGCAGACAAACAGCAATTTCTTGTATTGGTGAAGTCCACAATGAAGGACAACGTTTATCACTGTCCAAGAATCAGGAGGAAGCTCCAGCAGCTTCATCCATGTTTTAAGTCAAATCTAGAGATGTTACTTGTTTACAACTACTTTGCAATTTGTTCATAATAGGAAGTGGTTGATGTTCCCTCCCTCCCACACCGTTCCCCTTTTGCAGAGCAACACACAGTCTGGTGGCACTGTTTGGTTTAGACACTGTCACTGCAGGGCTCGCAAAAGAAAAGGATGATGTGGATATAGTCAGCTGAGAGGAGCAGTGCGAAATATTAGACAAAATAATCATTATGAGAGAGGAAGTATTAAAGGAGCTGGAATCATTGAAAGTGAATAAATCACAACGGCCAGATGAATTGTTCCCTAGGATCTTTAAGGAGGTCAAGGAGGAAATAGCA